AACACAGCCCACTATAGACCCAGTCCAGACCAGTACAGGACAGCACCACCAGTAAAGATTGGTACATCCCAGCCCAGTACATCCCAGTACAGCCCAGTACAGCCCAGCACATCCCAGTATAACCCAGCACATCCCAGCCCAGTACAGCCCAGTACATCCCAGTATAGCCCAGCACATCCCAGTATGGCCCAGTATAGCCCAGTATAACCTAGTACATCCCAGCCCAGTACAGCCCAGCACATCCCAGTATAGCCCAGTATAACCCAGTACATCCCAGTACATCCCAGCATGGCCCAGCACCTCCCAGTGCATCCCAATATAATCCAGTACATCCCAGCATGGCCCAGTACAGCCCAGTACATCCCAGTACAGACCATTACAGACACTGCCCAGCCCAGTACAGCCCAGTACATCCCAGTACAGACCATTACAGACACTGCCCAGCCCAGTACAGCCCAGCAGAGCCCAAGGTGGCCCAGTACAGCCCAGTATGGCCCAGTGCGTTCCAGTATGGCCCAGTACATCCCAGCATGGCCCAGTGCAGGCCAACGCAGACCCAGCACCTCCCAGTCCATCCCAGTATGGCCCAGTACAGCCCAGTACATCCCAGTATGACCCAGCACATCCCAGCACAGCCCAGTGCATCCCAGTATGGCCCAGCACATCCCAGCACCTCCCAGTACATCCCAGTATGGCCCAGCACAACCCACAGCAGACTGATGAGGACACAGCCCAGCCCAGCAGAGTCCAGTATATCCCAGTACAGACCAGTATGGCCCAGTGTAGCATGGCATGGCCCAGTGCAGGCCAACACAGACCCAGTACATCCCAGTACAGACCAGTATGGCCCAGTACATCCCAGTGCATCCCAGTGCATCCCAGTATGGCCCAGTGCAGGCCAATGCAGACCCAACACCTCCCAGTACATCCCAGCATGGCCCAGTACAGCCCAGTACATCCCAGCACATCCCAGCACCTCCCAGTACATCCCAGTACAGCCCAGTACATCCCAGTATGGCCCAGCACATCCCAGCACATCCCAGTACATCCCAGCACATCCCAGTATGGCCCAGCACATCCCAGCACATCCCAGTACATCCCAGCACATCCCAGTACATCCCAGCACATCCCAGCATGGCCCAGTACATCCCAGTATGGCCCAGCATACCCCAGCACATCCCAGTATGGCCCAGCACATCCCAGCACATCCCAGTACATCCCAGCACATCCCAGTATGGCCCAGCACATCCCAGCACATCCCAGCACATCCCAGCATGGCCCAGTACATCCCAGTATGGCCCAGCATACCCCAGCACATCCCAGTATGGCCCAGCACATCCCAGCACATCCCAGTACATCCCAGCACATCCCAGTATGGCCCAGCACATCCCAGCACATCCCAGTATGGCCCAGCACATCCCAGTATGGCCCAGTACATCCCAGCACATCCCAGTATGGCCCAGCACATCCCAGTATGGCCCAGCACATCCCAGCACATCCCAGTATGGCCCAGCACATCCCAGTATGGCCCAGCACATCCCAGCACATCCCAGTATGGCCCAGCACATCCCAGTATGGCCCAGCACATCCCAGCACATCCCAGTATGGCCCAGCACATCCCAGTATGGCCCAGCACATCCCAGTATGGCCCAGCACATCCCAGCACATCCCAGCACATCCCAGTACGGCCCAGCACATCCCAGCACCTCCCAGTGCATCACAGTACATCCCAGTACATCCCAGCACCTCCCAGTACATCCCAGTACGGCCCAGTACATCCCACTATGGCCCAGTCCATCCCAGTCCATCCCAGTCCATCCCACCCCCGGCGGTACCTGGGGGGGCTCAGCCCACGGCCGCTCCCATCGCTGCTCCGGGGGGGGGCGGGCCTCGCCCTGCCGGGGGAACCGGGAATGGGGGAAAAACCGGGAATGGGGGAAAAACCGGGAATGGGGGCGGGGGGAACACCGGGATGGAGCGGGGATGGGAACCGGGATGGAGCCGGGATGGAGCGGGGATGGAGCCGGGATGGAGCCGGGGCGCGGGGGGGCCCCGGGAGCGGCCCCGGGCTGGAGGTGCCGGGGGTCCCGGAGCAGCCCCGGACCCGGAGAGGCCCCGGTGAGGCCCCGGTGAGGCCCCGGTGAGGCCGCGGCCGCCGCTCGGAGCCGCAGAACCGGCGGGGCGGGGCCCGGGGGGGCCGGGGGGGGGGCCGGGGGGGGGGGGGCCG